TGAATGTCGGTGTGAGATCTCTCGCGGAGGCCGGAAGGATCTATAGTAAGCGTAGCTTTAGTGCAGTCATTGAAGTGATTTTTGCTGTAGTACGATGACCTAACTACTTTTCTTTCGACAAATGAAATCCTGAAATTGTCGTTAACAATGGTGTTAGAACAAAAGAAATTCTCTTGAAACTGGGGCAATTACACCGGTACGAACTCATTACTTATTTGTTGCAGACAGCGGTTTTGAATTACTTTTTTTAGTATCAAAAGTAATATTCAGTCGTCGTTTCGTTTATTCGCAGTCCGCTAACGCAGCAATTACATAAGTCTAACCTCTTACCGGTCGGTTTATCCTTGTTTATGTTTACATATTAATGAACTTTTTAAGTTCTCGGATATTTGAAAGTTTGGCTGTTTCGATAAGGACCCCAATTAGTCCAATAGCTCCGAATTATAGACTTCGTGTACAGTTACGTATTATGTTTTGAAATAATGAATCAGCAATTTACGAAAATAGACGAGTCGTAGTCGAGGTTTGCATCGTGTGTCATGCCAACCAGGATTACAAAAGCCGACTATAGCTAATACATTATTCACAAGGATATGGTTTTAGAGAGATTAATACTAAAAGGTTTAAGATGAAATGTATATTAGACATTAAAATATATTTGCATGTTTTTAACATTAATCTGTGGTTGTGAATTCAAGTCATACCTTTCTGTTAAAGCCTCACTATATGTGGTATGTCATTGCATTGGAAAACCTACCTTCATAAATACAAATCAAATCTGTGATAATTGTTTCTACAACACGTATTATGTGTGTCAAACACATTGCATAATGTAGTTCGGCGACGTCCATGAAGTTCTTCCGTAAATGCAAAAATAAATAAAACCGAATATATAATTGAAAATTTCCGTTCACTACCAAAGATCCACGAATACCGCAATTTATCAAAAAAAAATTTTTTTGTCAATTAGTAATAGATATAATAAACGAAATTCCTCTCTAATAATAATATTTTCGGTACACTACCATATGTATGTTGTGTTAGGCACGTAAATGAAACAGATAATTGGTTTAAAATCCGAACATACAGTAATTATAAACCTCTATGGATTTTCACCCTCATAACATAATTTTATATCTCGTCAGGGTTACATGCAGACTTTAAATTGGACCAGCTGCTGTTCCCGTATGTTTTATGGCTGTTAAATTAATTTTTATTGAAAGATATATGCACACGTGAGTTTACTGAAACGTAGGCAACCAATAATATCCTATTGTAACATGAGCAAACGAAACAAAGACTTGTTCATTGTTTGAGAACAGGTCAGTTATTGACAAATTTTACAGTTTTAATCAATTTCTAGTTCAAGTTTTTGGCATCCGTAATCGCTTTTACGTTACTCCATTAATTTGAGTGAATTATTCTCGAATAAGTATCAGTTCTATGATTTCTACTTATCGAGCATAAGCTGCGATCGAGTCCATCGGGCGACTTGCTACTCTCATGTTTTCTCGACGTTTCATGACCCCAAAAAACATGACGAAAAAACAGTTGTCCGGTTTCCGTCTGTCAGTCCGGACTTTTATTAGACAAATAATCTCCGAAACTACTGACAAAAAATTGTCTGCTCATCATCACCAACAGTGGAATGACGTCTTCTGTAAATTTTGCAATAGTAAATGTCATTTAAATTTTATAAAATAACGTTCTCCTCCATTTGTGGTTTATGACTCAGTGTTCAGTTTTTACCTTAGAAATCCACATTTTTGGAAAAAAAATCTTGCGTTTTAAGGTTATCGGAAGCATGGTAAATGTTTAATCACAATTTATTCGTTCATGTCAGGAATTGGTGATGTCATGTCATATTACAATTTTGTAGAATAATTTTTTTAAAATGTTAAAAACTAACATTGTGGTTTATGAATCCGTGCTGAATTTTTATACGCGACAGTGGTTGTGTAGATATAACACTTTTTCGATTTCTCCATTTTTTGATATTTCAGTTTTGGGATTTACGTTTTTTGTTTTTCGTTTTCGATTTATCAGTTTCTCGAATTCCAATTTTTCGATTCTCCAATTTCTTGATTCTTCAAATTTTCCATTTCTGAATTTCTTCATTTTACGATTTCTTCTTTTTCTGTTTTTTCATTTTACGATTGTTCAATTTTCCAATGTTTGACGTTTCTAAATCTTCAGTTTTATGATTTAATCGCTTTTTTGATTTTCCTATTTCTCGATTTCTCAACTTTTCAATTCTTCAATTTTTCAGCTTTTCAATTCTTCAATTGTTCGATTTTTCAGGTTTTTTGATTTTTCAATTTTTCAATTCTTGAATTTTTCTTCAATTTATTATTTAATTTTTCGATATCTCAGTTTTGGGGTTTTTCAATATTTCGGTTTTCAATTTTCGAGTTTTCGATTTCCAGATTTTTTTACTTTTTTCGATGTTTCAGATTTTTAATTTTTCAATCTTTCGCTTTTTCGACTTATTGATTTACTCGATTTCCCGATTTTTCAATGTTTCAATTTCGAGTTTCCCAATTTTTTTTTGATGTTTCAGTTTTGAATTTTTGAATTTTGTTTTTTCAGTATATGTTTCGATTCTTCAGTTTTTCGATGTTTAAATTTTAGATTTTTCAATTTTTCGGTTTTTTGATGTTCCGATTTCTCGATATTTTAATTTTACAATTTCTAAAATTGTAGCTTCTTCGATTTCTCGATCTATCCATTTTTCGATTTATCGGTTTTTCAATTTTTCGATCTTTCAAATTTTTAATGTTTGAATTTTTCGATCTTTCCACTTTTCGATTTTCTTAGATTTTTCGGTTTTTCAATTTTTCGATCTTTAAAATTTTTGATTTTTCGATTATCTTAACTTTTTCAAATCTTCCGTTTTTAACTTTCCGATTTTTCGGTGTTGGCCTACTTTGATTACTCAATTTTTCGATGTTTCAGTTTTTGAATTGTTCGATTTTGAGGCTTTTCAACTTTTCAGTTTTTCGACTTTCAATTTTTGAATTTTTCGATGTTTCCATTTTTCGCTTTCTCGGTTTTAGATTTTTCGGTTTTTCAATTTTTCGATCTTTAAAATTTTTGATTTTTCGATTATCTTAAGTTTTTCAAATCTTCCGTTTTTAACTTTCCGATTTTTCGGTTTTGGCCTACTTCGATTACTAAATTTTTCGATATTTCAATTTTGGGATTTTCAGTTTTTTATTCTTCAGATGTTCGATTTTTTAATTTTCCACTTTTTCGAGTTTAAATTTTTCGATTCTTCAAATTTTCGACTCTTGAGTTTTTCGTTTTTTAAATTGTTGGATTTTTCAAGTTTTGACGTTTTTAAATTTTCAATTTTTTGATTTTTCAATTTCTCGGTTTACGGATTTTTTTGATTTTTTCTTTTCTTGATTTCTCGAGTTTTCAGTATTTCGATTTTTCAATTTTTTCAGGTTTTATGTTTTTCATTTTTTCGCTTCTTCAATTTTTCTTCCGTTTTTTATTTAATTTTCCGATGTGTATTTCAGTTTTGGAATTGTTTAATATGTACAAATTTCGATTTTCAATTTTTCGACTTTTGGATTTCCAGATTTTTAATTTTTCGATTTCTCGATTTTTCAATTTTTCAATTTGGAATTTCTCAATTTTTTTGTTTCATTTGTGAATTGTACTATTTTGTTTTTTCAATATCGGTTATGGCTTTAGTTTTTAAAATTGTAGCTTATTCGATTTATTGATTTTTTCGATTTTTCAGTTCTTCGAAATTTTACTTTTTCGAACTTTAAATTTTAGGTGTTCAGTGTTTTGATGTTTGGATTTCTCCATCGTTCCATTTCTCGACTTCTCGTTTTAGATTTTTCGAATATTTTAAATTTTTCAAATCTTCCGTTTTTAACTTTTCTATTTTTCGGTTTTGGCCTACTTCGACTGCTCAATTTTTCGATGTTTCCATTTGGCGATCTTTTGATGTTTCGATTTCTCGATTTTTCCGTTTTTTAAATTTTCGGTTTTTCCATTTTTTAATTTTTAAACAATTTTTCAATTTTTCGATATTGCGTCTTGGATTTTTCAATGTGTCAGTCGTTGAATTTTTCGATTTCTCGGTTTTTCGAGTTCCTAATCTTTCGATGTTTCGATTTTTTAGTTTTTCGGTTTCTGATTTTTCGTCATTTCAATTTTGAGATTATTCAAATTCTTGATTTTTCAATTTTTGCGATTTTTTAAATTTTGTATTTTTGATTTATGTATCGATTTTCTGATTGTTTGACTTTTTGATTTTACAGTGGTTCAATTTTTCAGTTTTTCAATTTTTTAAATTTTGAATTTTTCAATTTCTCGATTTTTCAGTCTTTTAATTTTTTGAGACTTCTAGTTTTCAATTTTTCGGTTTTTCGTGTTTCAATTTTTCGATTTTCTGAATTTTACATTTTTCAGTTTTTCAATTTTCGATTTGACGATTTTTTGAAGTTTCGATTTCTTGACATCTCAGTTAAGTTTAATTTCTGTTTTTGGATATTTTAATTTTACGATTTTTTTATGTTATTCATGCTAATGGTTTTGCGGGATTTATTGAACGGCACTTTAGGATTGAGCGAACTTCTGTCAAAATAACTTTCGACCAATTTTTTACAAAAGATCACGAACATATTTTTAAAAATGTATAAGAGTCGCATAATTTTCCAATGACATAACTCGAGGTTTTTAGTTTTTCGACAACATTGTTGAGAAACACACTATTATTGCCCAACTCACCATGAACACAGAATGTATTAATTTCATGCTGCGCTTATTATTGCACATTTTTAAGAATTATTAAATATTTATTCACGGAATTCTTCGCATGAAAATTCTATAAATTACTGTAATATCTTATCCGCGTTGTGTGTATTTGTTTTAAATAATCCCTAGTCGATTGATAAAAGTCGCCACTTTGTTTCAATATATACCCACGTCCTTCAACCTCTTGTGTCTCGACTTCGTTAAAAGATTAAATTTTGTTTCAGTTTCGGGAAAAGAACTGGAGGCAGCGCCCGCCGTCAAAACGTTTGCTTCGTGCTGGAACCGTCAGAGATGATTGTCGTAAGTACTAAAAATAATAACAAAATAATTGACTACACTTTCTTGCACCTAATAATTACTATTTTGTCGACGTGAACCGGAGCGTTCTCTCGTTTCTAAATTATTATATCATTTCCTTCCTCAATTGGCTAATTAGTAGAATAATTCGCAACTTCGATACTGCGAACATTGTTTCTGCCAATTACAACCGTGTTGAGTAATCCACATTTGTAGCACTTATTGTTTACTACGAGAAGAAAAGACGAAGTGCATGCCTTATCACTTTTGCCGAGAAGAATGTGACCGTGGCGCCAACTATGTGATATGAAAAACCGAGTGATTCAACACCACGGAAGTGGCATTTTTTACACTTTGTGATATTTGATGATTTCATTGTTTTGTAGTGTACAGCGATTTTTGGTCTAAGCTCCTCCCGTTTTACCTTTGCTCCGCCCACAAACTATTCACGTTTAGTCGTTCGAATTGACCGTCGATATACCCACGGGAAAACATGACTCCCGTTTATTATTTTAAGCTACCCACCACTTCAACATGTCTGCAAAGATGAAGTGTCCACTCGTGTTCATTGTTGGTTGTCTGCCTTCCACTTGTCTCATTTTCCCCCTCTCACGAGTGTTATTGTCAATGGGCAATTACGCCGATGCAATTTTGACGTTTACGTTTCTCTTATTTGCGATTATTTTGAGTAAAAACGACGTTTGTTAGCACGACCTCGCTTTATTCGCACCTTCAGCTTGCTTGTAAATGGAAAAAGTCAATAGGAATTCTTTAGCTAGGGATTCTGGCTGCGAGCCAACGGCTTTGTGAATCCTTATAGTTTCTTTTTCTTGAGCAAGTTGGATTTAAGTCTGAAATATCGCATTAATTTGTCTTGATTTGTTTTCTTTGAAGGAATGCGGCGGACTGGCGGAGAAACTGGAGATGTTTCTGGTTTTACAAGTTGTTTTCTGAAGAAACTATGTTCTGTTTTGTTTTTAATAACTTGGTGTTGGCTGAGGATAATCTTATGGGATCATAAAATTTCATTATGGTTGTTTTGAGTCATCTGGAGAGTCATATAATATATTGCTGTTTGTTTGGTAATTTGTGCGGTTGTAAATATAAACAATTAGACAAACTCGATTAGCATTTGGTTTTTGTGACATCTTGTGACACATTGATCGCTCGTTTTTTACTAATTTTAACTGGTGGCTGTCTATTACTTGCGTTTACACTGAGAAACTAAAGTATGGGTGGTTCAATCTGATTATAGTGAGGTGTACTGTGTACAGAATGATAAACCGTCAATAAATTTGTGTATTCATCCATTCCAAAAAATTGGTGACATCACCGTGAAATAGGATTGTCATATATTCCGAGAAAAAGAAAAAACTACATTCAATCAAATTTTTCAATTAATTTCCAAAAATTCAAACAGATTTCTTTGAAGTTTTAGTAAATCACGAGACATTCGAACATTTAAAAATACGACCTGACATGCTATATTTATTATTGATATTACGTTGTGTGGTTTATTTATTGATTTCTTTGGAATTAATTTCGCTGAATTTCCGAGATTATTATCGTCGGTACACTGTACTTACCCAGACGTTACAAAAATATATCACGAGCAAACATTGGAAAGTAGTATTGGGATAGAGGCTATCAGACGAACGGCCAATTTCGTGATTTCTCGACGTTTCATATTACCTAGAGTATGAAAAAATCAGTCTCCCGTTTCCGTCTGGCGTCGTTGGCGAGTTTATCAAACAAAAGATCTTCGAAACTACTAGACTGATTGTGTGAAATATTATATATCGTGTAGATACTAAAACGTTAACCAAAATCCAAAATTTTCCTGATCTCCCCACCAATAATTTGGTGACGCCATCTCAAAAATTTACAAACAAAAAAAAACGAAATTGTCTAAAAATACTTTACCATTTAATTGGGAAACTGTAAAACCGAATATTTACGCTCTGCGTTAAGATTGTCGTCAGCATGGTAAATCACTAATCAAATTTGTCTCTTGATCCCTTCCAAAGACTAGTTGACGTCATGTTAAAATTTTGTATAATAATCCCCATGTAAAATGTACACAATTGTCTTATCATCCCCACCAATAATTTTTTGACGTCAAAACAACATTTTACGCAGTACGCGACATTCAAATTTTATAGAACATTATATACGAGCACTTGTGGTTTATGACTCCATCTTAATTTTGTTTATTATTGTTAGTTCTTATTGTTTAATTCTTCTTCGACTTTAGATTTATACGACTAACTGTCACAGCGATTATAAAATAATTCCGGCGCAACTTCTCTTGACTCAACTAGCTGAATGAATCCGTTCCCCAAAGGTGGACTCTATTTAAACAGTACGCGGTCCTTCTGGAAACCCTACGTTACCGCTTCTAGACTTCCCCGGAATCCCCATTCGCGATTTCCATTTCTAGGCGTTTTTTAGCGCTCCGTCGCTCAGTCGCATTGAGGACGAATCATCACCGGCGTAAGACCAGAGAGTTCTCGACGGCCATAGGCGTCGTACCGAGGCGACGTAAGCATGTATTTCGTAACAATATAATAAGAGGTTGAACAAGCGAGTTTGGTGAGGTCCAATTCTTCTTTTTACTTCCCAAGCCTAAGCGAAGGAAGTATTGTAATAGACTCCAGCGGATGAATGGTTACTTTTATGTTTTCTCGACTTTCATGATCCTAGAATGTAAAAAAAGTGATCTCCCGTGTCCCTCTCTGTGTCTTGTGTGTCAATTTTTATTAGACAGATAATCTTCGAAATTACCGGACTAATTGTCGCGCAGACGGTACAACTGTAACTGTAACTAAAAATTGACTAATTATCCTCACCCCGAGTGGAATGACATCATCATGGCAAATCGTTAATCAAAGCTTTTTCTCGTTTTTTTGAAAGAGACAATTTATTCTATTGGTTAAAAATAAAGAACGAAATATAGTACTATTGTTATTAGTATTAGACTGCATCCTTCCAAATTGATATACGTGTCTTTGCAAAAATGTTGATGACGTCATCATATGGTTTTGTAATGAAAAAACTCATTGGAAACAAACGCATAGCACACTTTTTTACATTTACTTTAACGTCTTTATTTTAACTTACTTAAAGTTTGTCATAAAAAAATAAAAGTCAAAAAATCAAATTTTGTAATTTTCGAAAAATTTGGATTTGTTGGGACGAGGGAAGTTCTGTCGAAATAACCTTCGACCAATTTCTTTTGACCACATTTTTTCGAAAATGTAACAATACCGTAATGTCATATCCGCTTATATTTAATAATAAAAAAATGATTATTATAATAAGCGAAAATAATATTCGGACCGTTTTGTTCCATTATCACAAAACACAAAATCAATGAAATTTAATTTTCTTTTAACTATTTCATTCTATTTTCTTTTAAGTATTTCATTCTTTGATTTGTTAACCTAAACAGTCGAAGTTAAGCATGTACTGAGAATACATTTTTTCCCGCTGGTTATCTGCTTTAAATGTGCGGACCACGTTCCCTTTACTTAGCCGTACTTTAACAGTTTAGAGATTAAGTTTATTTTTACTTCTAGGGGTTATCACAAAAAGATCTCAAAATAAAATTTTATAATTTTTCGAAGCAATTGTTCAGGGTTTTTATGAATGATTATTCTAAGGGCGTAGTTGGCTATCGATTTAAAAAATCTCGCTTCGCTGAAATTATACCTCAGTATGACAGTTCTCACTTGTCATTAATGTCATGTGTAACCTGTCATTTAAAGTCATCGCTTTTATTGTTTTAACGTTTTACAAGTGTGAATTAGAGTAATTCTCGTTGATCCAAGCTCAAAACAATAAAATAGTCAACCGTGAAAACCGTGAAAATGGTTTATTCTGTTGAACATGGTATTTTCATTGTTATGTCTCATTATCGTAATGCAATGGGACATGTAACCGCTTGTAAGCAAGAATATCTGACCAAACTGGCAGTGTCCACAAAGGGAAATCTCCTGGAAAACCTTCAGTATCTGAGGAAGTTGTTGATTTGAGACGACTTGAGCACAGTCCGTGAACATCTTTGAGAATATTGTCTCCGCAGTCAGAAGTTGGTGTTGCAACATGAAATTGAACAATGGGTCCACCAAAGTATTGACGAAAGGATGTTACAGAACATTTTTGAAATTAAAAATAGAGTGAACATTTTCAATTTATTGTGATGTTTAACCGCAATAAATTTGTTTAATGAATTAGTTTTATTTTTGATGAAGATATATACCATTTAGGCAACCAGTTATACAGATGCGTGTGTCCTTGGGAATTTAGTAAAGTTCAAAACTGATAGGCGGCACGTTTCCCTGACCTACTTCGACTCTATAATCATTTATAGAAAACCTTATTTGTTCGACTGCACTTTCGGGTAGTTGGTAGTTTTGTTTAAATAACTTTGGACCAATTTCTTAGATTGGCTTATACAGCGTGACTCAAAAAATTTTAGTTTGTTAATCCTTTTACAACATGAAAGTCCGAAACCATTTATTATTAATGAAAAGGAATTTTTATCAAAAAACATGTCATGTCTGTGTTTTATATTAAAAAAATTACATATATTGTATACTGTATGCATAAAAACATTACTATAGTGAACCAAGAGCTATAAGGTTATATGGCCATCATAAAATCATCCCATTGTGTCGAACTTAAGTTGTTTACAATAGAAAAGGTTTTAGGGTCGTAAATAACGAGTCCACTACAGCTCGACCGGCTCTTGCGGTTTCGTTCAGGGGCGGCTTTCACTAAATACGAAAATCGACCACTCCACTATTTCTTTGCTACCTGCAGCCGCTGAGGGTTCCGAAATAACCACTCGCTTTGAAAGCCGGCCCTGTTAAATATGAGCAAGAAATGTTTAGAAGATGATTTATTGCCAACCGGTAAGCTTAGTGCGAACCACACAAAGGGGGTATTTATTTGCGGTCAACTAATTTTATGATGGCCATATAACCTTATACCTCTTGGTT